CTGTTTTTAAGTGAAAACTTACCAATTCGATCCGGGAAGTGCGAAACTGTTGATTTCTACAAATTATAAGATAAAAAAAATCAATAAAAAAAAATCAAAATTAATAATAAAAAAAAAAAACTTACAAATTCAAAGATGTTGATCTACACATTCTACTAAAGAAATCTACCGAAGCTGAAGAAAATTCCAAGAAAACGTCCTACAAAAGTAAGAGATAGAGGAATGGCGGGGAATAACGAAAGAGGAGAGGAAAGGTGAGAGGGAAGAGAGAAAGAAAGCCCTGGAGTTCCTACAAAATAAAGAAATAGAAACATTAATACAGTATAACGTTTCTTTTTTTTAAAAAAAAGAACTACTAAGATTTGTAATACTTACAAATCTTAGTTTTTTTTCGTTCTTCAGAAGCCCACCGAAACCTATAAAAAAAGAATAAGAACAGTTAGTAACCGTTCATAATAATAAGAATAAAAAAAAAGAAAAAAAAACTAAGATTCGTAATACGGAATACTTACGAATCTTAGTTTTTTCCATTCTTCGTTCTTCGGAAACTCACCCAAACGGACGAACCTATAAAAAAAAGAAAGGAACGGTTAGTAAACTGTTCCAAAATAATAAAAAAAAACAAAAATCAAGATTCGTACTCGTACTTATGAATCTTGGTTTCAGAAGCCAACCGAACCTATAAAAATAAAAGAAAAAGAACGGTTAGAAACCGTTCATAATATTAAAAAAAAATCCAAGGTTTGTAACGAACCTCAGTTCTCCTTTTCCCGATCCTTGGAAGCTCACAAACCTATAAAAAAAAGAAAGAATGGTTAGTAAACCATTCGTAATAATCAAAAATAAAAAAAGATTGAAGATTCGTACTTACGAATCTTTGGGTTTTCATTCTTCAGAAGCCCACCCAAACCTATAAAAAAAGAAAGAATGGTTAGTAAACCATTCATAATAATCAAAAATAAAAAATATTGAAGATTCATACGAATCTTTGGGTTTTCGTTCTTCGGAAGCCCACCCGAACCTATAAAAAAAAAGAAAGAATGGTTAGTAAACCATTCGTAATAATCAAAAATAAAAAAGATTGAAGATTTGTACGAATCTTTGGGTTTTCGTTCTTCGGAAGCCACCCGATCCTAAAAAATAGAAAAGAACGGTTATTAGTAACCGTTTATAATATTTTTTTAAAAAATAAAAAAAAAATCCAAGATTCTTACGAATCTTTGGAATTTTCCCGTTCTTCGGAACACGGAAGCCCACCCGAATGGCCGAACCTAAAAAAAAAGTAAAAAAAGAACGGTTAGTAACCGTTCATATTAAATTAAAAAAAAAATAATAAACCAAGTTTCGTACTTACGAAACTTGGTTTTTCCATACTTCGAAAGCCCACCCGACCCTTTTAAATGGGCGTCTTGAATCTAAAAAAGAAAAAACGAAAACGTTAGTGAAACATTTCGTTAAAAAAAGTAAAAATTCGAAGGTATATGTATACCTTCGAAGGAGATAAGTGACGAAAGAAAAGGGGAAAGGGTAAGGAAGGGAAAAGCGAAGGAAGGGAAAGGAGAACGAAAGGAGGGAAAGGGGAAGAAGAGAAACTGGGACGAAGGAAAAGGGGAACGAAGGAAGGGAAAGGGCGAGGAGGGAAGGAAGAAAATTAAAAAAGTTTAAAAAAGGATCATCCTTTTTTAAACTTTTATTTTAATACGCGTATCGTGTAACGCATAACGTTTGATTAACATAATTCAACTAGGTTGAATATACACAGTAAAATTCGATAAACCGGATCTATCGGTTCCACTAAAAATATCCGGTTTATCGGGATATCCGGTTTAGCGAAAAAATTTCGATATATTGAAAATCTATTGTATTGAATTTTTAAAAAATTTTCATGCTAATAAAACTAATATACACTATAATTTGATTTTTTCATCTAGTTTTAAGTTATAGAGGTCATGAAAATGAATATAAAATATTTTAATTGAATATATAAGTAATACTTAACTTCAGCCGGAATTAAGATTTTTATAATTCCGGCCAAATTTAAGATTTACCGAATCACGTTACTTAAATTTTATTGGTTACAAGTCACGTGATCCGGTTCATCGAATCATTTTTACTATAGCTGGTTAGAAAATTGATCCGTTATAGCGAATATCGAGCTTTTACTAGTAAACTCCGGTATATCGAGCCTATTTTAATATACGTGATTTGGTTCCAGCAAAAAAGTCCGGTTTAGGCCTAAATCCGGTTTATCAAATATCCGGTTTATCGAATTTCACTGTGTATGTCTAATCGTAAATCTTTACTAATTGAAGTCGAATTTTATTAATTCTAGTCGAATATAGGCCAAATTGTATTAAGGCCGAATATTCCTTTTTCGACTAGTGTTATATACATAGATACTTATGCTTATAAAGTTATAAAGCTAATACTATAATAAATATCTGTTCTGTCAAGTGTCAATGATATATAAGATGTGTATTGCTGGTCAATCATCATGATTATAATGTGGGCTGAAATTTTAATCAATTATTTGTCAATCATTTATTTTTAAAACAAAATTTGTTTTTGAACATTAAATATCTTGTCAATTTATTTTTTTTTGTCTATAAAATATTTTTATTAACTAATCATTTCTATTTTTAGTAAAAAATAAATAAATAATAATGATATGTACTTCAATTCCAAACTAACATACTATCTCCTATTTCTTTAAAAACAAAAATGTCAGAATATCCAAAATGGCCAAATCCTTTTGGTTTTGTGCCATCCATTACAAGTGAAAGTCCAGGAATATGATATTTCAGTGGTAAAAGGCTTTCAACAATTGCCTGAAGAACAGGTTCATCTGCAGATGATAATGACATTTGTGATCTTGTTGATAGAAATGTTTTTATAATTTCAATAAAAGGTATAAGATTACCTGCAACAAGATTTTCATATGCTGAAGCAATAAGAAAAGCATCATTTACAACTTGCCTATATACTAATTTATCTTTATTTTGGTCTAAAATTCGAATTTGTTTTGTTACAAGTTCTAATAAATAATTGTTATATATAAAGAATTAATAATATATTGTAAATGCAAAAAAATCATGAAAATATTTTAATTTACCAGATGAATTAGTATCAGTATCTCGTACTCTTTTTAATCTTTCCCTTTGTTTTTCATTCCATATTTTATTAAAATCTGATTCTAATTCTTCTCCCAAACAATATATTTCACTTCCTACATCATTATATGTATAACAATTGTGAAATATAAGACGAATATCTTTTTCAAATTCTTCTGTACTTCTGTATTGATTATTTTCTAATTTTGAATTTATAGTAAATAGATCCATTGGATTTTTTATAGTCTTATCTGAAACTTCCATTTCATAATATTTGTAAAATGGATGGATATTAGATTTATTATCAAGTTCTTTAAGAATATCACAACAGTAGTTAGTTAGTTTAATGTTTTTCTTAGTAGTCTTATTACAATGTTCTTCTTTAACAGAAATGGTGGCAGGAATCTCAATTATTGCTTCTGGATGAGATGAAATTAGATTTTCTTTTTCTTTTTCATAATCCTTAATAATTCCTTTCCAGAATATTTGCAATGTTTTTGCATAACGTGAATGTTCTGTAGTTATCTGTTATAAGAAAGAGATTGTTAGTAGTGCATTAAGATTTTTTATTTAGTGACAAAAGAAGGTACATAGCCAACTCCTCCTCCAGAATTAGCAGGCTTTAATCAACAACAATGTTAGGACACCTGAACTGAGAGCTTGGGGTGGTTACCAAGGTTGTCAGAAACAGTAATTCCCCTAAAATCAAATAAATCTAACATAGGGATTGTCCACCCATTGCAAAATAAAAAAAATGCACCTTATCTTTAAAGCCAGGGGAATATATTCCTTCATGCAAAAAACGAGTAATCCAAGTATTATCAAGCTCTTCCCATTTGTCTGAGAAAGTTAAAGTAACAATAATATCACGGTAACTTTTCAAAAACCCACAATATGATACCTTTTTACTTTTTGTCATATAAGAAATAAGGACTAAAAATATCATTGAGTTACAATAGTAGTTAGATATAATATTACTGGTCAAAATAATTCCAAAAAGCAAGAAAATAATATAATATTCCAAAGAAATTTTAAGAACTTAAAAAGTAAGGCTTACTATTTTGACCAGGGTAGTTCTCAGATGTATTCATGTTAATTATGATGGTAAAAATAGTTAATTAATGATGGTAAAAATAAATTAGTAACAATAAATTGGTAAAATGGTTTAGGAGGGACTTAAATAAAAAAATATCTCTTGTAAATAGTATAACTTGGGGCGTTCTCAAACACCTCAATTGATAGACTGATGAATGATCTGATTGGTCAAAAAAGTTTCAAAGAGTTTCTTATTTTGATGATCAACAAGCGAGCTAAAAACCACCTTTTTTCCTCAATGATCTTCAATTGATAGATGATGCTCAATAATTTACTTTATTTTTTTATGACAAAAATGAGTTCTCAGCAAGCTCTTTCACAATATAAAAAAATTATTATTCTATTCTTAATGCAAGAAAATTTTAAAAGAAATAATAGAGGCTTTGACACAAATATGAATTATCTTTTAACTTTTACTCAAATTATAGAAAGTACTCTCTATATTTTTGAAAAACTGTGTCCCACTTTTGTTGAATAGAAGCTTTAGAACGTTCTTTTAAAACGAGACTTGCAACATTAGAAGATTGTATATTAGAAACAATATTATCCCAAATTCGGCCTTTTTCCCTTGGATCTTTAACTTTTTGCAAAGCTTGTTGATGTTCTTTAACCTCTTTAATAAGTATCCGAATTTCTGTTGATGTCCATCGATTTGATGGCTTGCTAGCACGAATTGGTGTAGGTGGAATTGAAGTTGAAGTTGCATAATCAGGAGAAATAGCGACAGGATTATTACAATCAATGGAAGAAGATGACTATAAAAAAGAAATCAATAAAGACCTAAATTACATTTAAAAAGAATATGTATTTACTTTTTCTTGTCGTATAGCTTCATTTAGAGCCAATATTTGACTTTGCTGTTGCAAAAAAGTTGCAAGTTCGTAAAATCATTTAAAGTGGTTGCATTAAAAATTGGGTTTGAAACTTCAGCAACTGGTTGAGGTTTTTATTGAATTTTTTATTAGGCATGTCGAAATTCGAAAACTATAAAATTGGTTATCATAAAAAAAAACTGTTGCTTAAAAAATTTATGTTAAACTATAAAAGAGGCATGCTCAAGCTAAATCGAGCTTATAATTCTATTGATCTCGCCATTGATTGTGATACTTGAGCACAATGACATCACTATCAGGTCTAATTGAGGGAGATGCTTGAGAACGCCCTTGGACTGACACATTGAGATATCAAAGTGAAAAATCATTGACAAAAACTGAATCATTTTTCCATATATGGAATGATAAAATATGGGATAAAAAAATACAAGAAAATCTATGTGATATGGCTCACAACTTGTCAGTCTAACTCATTATTATGAAATAGAACAATATTGTAATGTTTCATATTTGTCCATTTTATGTGGTGTAATATTGTATAATTTTGATTAAAATTATGATAATTAATGATTATTATAATATTGTTACTCAAATTGATCTACTTGTCTAATTTTTTAAGTCATAGTAATATAACTTCAATATCTTATTTATGTTTAACAAACAACTCAACTTTTGTCAATATGACCTATCTGACATATCAATTATCATCATTCACCTTAAATTAATTTATCATTGTTATCAGTATATTGCATACACTACTCTTATCTATTCTATACTATCTATTCTATACTATTTTAGAACAAAAAAATCTCTTTATTATTTTTTAAATTATCATAATTTTCTTCTCCACCTCTCTTGTCTCTTAGGCACTGTTATCGATCATCACTATTTAGTCATACCACCCATTATTTTCTCTAAAAAAAATAAATTTTATAAAATAGAAAATTTTTATTTGATGAAAAAATATATATCAATACAAATAAACAAATATTCTACTACCATGTTCAACAATCATATTCATTTTCTTCTGCAAATAAAATTTATAATTTTTATTTTTTGATGAAAAAATATTAACATCTTTTATTGAGAATGTCTCCTTTTTTAATTTACTATATATTATAAAACAACTCGTCTAAAGTTAATAATATATTTATTTTGTCAAATAAAGTTTACTATATATCTCAATTTATGTTTATAAATAATATTTAACACAAATACATAAAAAACAAATACAATATTCTTCAAAATCGTATACAAATAGTTTTTTCTAATAATTAGTTTATCTAGTTGGAGTAAAAGAAGTAGGTTAACCCAATTATTGGCTTTGCAATATCAAACAGGAATTGTTTGAATCTTATGTCTGAAGGAACTTGTCAAAATTTGATTATTTGAAGTACTGCTAAGCAGAGTTATAAATACTCTTGTTGGTTGGTTATTCGTTGTAGGAATAATGTTCAAAGTAATTATTCCTCATTATTTTTATATTTTAAAAATTGGCGAACTCTTTAGCATGGAGAAATGAATACTGAAAAGTCTGTGTATGTCTAACTTTAACCAAATTCAATATATGGCTAGTTTAATGCAAGCATTTTTATAACATTACATATTAAGCTTAAAGCTTACGCTTACTTTTAAGTTTAAAATATGTTAAGCTTTATGCATGATGGTAGGTTAATATATATTGAAGAAAAAGTGATGATGAAAAAAATGATGTACAGTTCACCCTCGCTATAGTGAATTTTTATATAGTGAATAACTCACTATAATGAAGAAAAGTCTAGGTACGGATTTTTTTATAAATAATAATTCTTGATATAGTGAATTTTATAATAAATTTTCTGTATCTCGTAATTCAAATTTAAATACTGGAACCAGTGTTAATAAAATGACCCTTGATATAGTAAAGATTTTTGCTATAACGAATTTTTCAAATGTTACACAATTAATTAGTGAATTTTTTATCACGTATAATTTATTTGAATTAGAATTTGCATTTAGAAGCTAGAATTTTTTCGTGATTTAAACTAAAAAGGAAAAGTATCATATTTTATTTTGATTATAATAAAAGTAATCCTGATCTAGTTAATTATTTTCTTCACACACTATGCCCAAAACTCAAAATAAAAGAACTTCGCGTACTCAAATAACCATAGGCAAAGGTATAATATCCCAAGAAAAAACTTTGCCAAAAAGAGCCTCCTTGACTCTTGCCCAAAAACATGAAATATGTCTTAAAAAAGTTACTGAACCTTCTCTAAAAAATAAAGAACTAGCGAAATTATTTGATGTTAGTGAAGGATGTATTAGTAGTACGTTAAAAAATTCACAAAAATGGCTTGAAATTGATCCCCAAGCACCTGAAGCTAAAGGTAAAAGACAAGTTAGGGTGATTTTTCCAGAAATTGAAGAAGCACTTACGTTATGGGTATTAAAAGCTTTGGAAAATAGTGTTGATATTAGTGATCAAGTTTTACATAAAAAAGCTATGATGTTTGCATCTTTATATAAGATTGAAAATTTTAAAGGAAGTAATGGTTGGATTAATGGATTTAAAAAAAGGCACAATCTTTCTTGTTATTTAAAGCAAGGAGAGGCTGCAAGTGCACCACTTGAGAAACTTGATGAATTTAGGAAAGAGCTTCAAGATTTGATTCGTGGATATAGTCTTGATGATGTTTTCAATTGTGATGAAACTGGTTTGTATTGGAAAATGGAACCTAAAAGAACGATTTCTGATAAACCTATATCTGGACGAAAGCAATCAAAAGATCGTGTGACAATTCTTCTTTGTTCTAATGCAACTGGTAGAGAAAAGCTTAAACCAGTATTTATTCATAAATACAAAAACCCTCGTCCCTTGAAAAACTTACCCAAGTCATCTTTACCGGTAGAATATTACTGGAATATAAAAGCTTGGATGCAAGTCTCCATTTGGAATGATTGGATTCGTCAATTTGATGCAACAATGAGATTAAAAGGAAGAAAAATTCTTCTTCTTGTAGATAACGCTCCTGTTCATGCTTTATACGAAGGTGTAGAATTGACTAATATAGAAATTAAGTTTTTACCTCCTAACACAACCGCGCATCTGCAACCTTGTGATAAAGGTATTATTAATAGTTTTAAGGTAATTAATTCTGAAAAATTTTAATGCAATTTTTTAATTATTACGAAATTAAACTTACCATATTTATATATTTGTAGGCACACTATCGAAAATTGCTCCTTAAAAATCGTATCAAGGCCTTTGATTATCAACAAGAAACAGGCAATAGTAAGTCACCAATTGATATCAAAAAAGCTATTAAGTATGTGGTATCAGCCTGGGATAAAGTTCTTTCTCAAACTATATTTAACTGCTGGAGAGATGCAGGAATTTTGCCATTAGATGATACAGATTCTCAAGATGAAATAGAAGAGAATGAACGTGAAGAGAATGAACGTAAAGAAATCCAAGATTTAATTGATAAACTTGAATATATACATCCCCTTACCGCTGAAGAATATATTAAATTAGATCAGGAGAATGAAATTACTGGTGAGACACTAACTGAAGAACAGATAGTTGCCATTCTTAAAGAAAATAACTCCATTTCTGATGATGAAAGTGATAGGGAAATTACTTCAGTATCTAGCTCTGAAGTTTTGGCCGCGTTTGATAAAATTTTTATTTATTTAGAAAAAAATAAAAGTCAAGATATTATTGATAAAGGTGCTTTTAAAGCTATAAAAAAAGCTAGAAGGGAAGTTTACAGAAATAATTTTTTTTCAAAGAAGCAAATGAGTTTAGACCTATTTGTTAAAACTAATGATAGCGTTGATGGTGTTGATAATAATAATATGAATAGAATAGGTGATAAAGATAATATTATGGACGTTGATAATATTAATTTTGAAACTTTATATTTTAACGAAGGGGACTTTTATAATCATGAAGAGTGTGAAGGTTTTATTGAATACCAAATCGATCAGGATAGTCTTTATAAATGATTGTATTACAGATTTGCAGTATTGCGTTTATCATACTTAATAAAGTAATAATCTTTGAGTGACATAAATATAAAAAGTATTTATGCGCAGGTTTACAAAAAAACAAAGAAAATTTATTTTATTGCATGTGTTTTTTATAAAAATAAGCTTAGTAGTCGTGACTTTTAATTATTACTATATAATATACATCACGTGATAATAATGGATTTTTAATATAGTGAAAATCTTATCTTTATTTACTATACGTGATTAGTGAATTCCCTTACTATAGTGAATTTTAGTTTTCAGCCCATGAGTTTCACTATAGCGAGGGTGAACTGTACAAAAAACAAAAGGATTTTAATTTCATTTTAAAGTTTTCACATTTAAGTTAAAATATATTATTATTATTCTAATGAATAAAAAATATGAACGAATTGTTTATTGAAAATTGATAAAAAATCACTAGATACGGTATGTCAAAATAAATTTATTTATGAAACATTAATTTCATTTTAATTTAGTAACGCTCATGCAAACTTTTTTTTTTTTTATAAATTTGGTTAAAACCAATCTCCTTTTTTTTAAAAAAAAAAATAGGAAACGCAAACAGAAACCGTTGTAAGTCCAGAGCAAAAAATTTTGTATTTAAAATGCAGTTAAATTCTAAATCACATGTTTTTTAGAGTTAAGAATAAGGAATAAAACGTCAAATAAACAAAATAAAATAAAACTTTACAACATCCCTTCTCAATTTACCTTTAAAAGTCCAGTGTGTACAAGTAGTAACCTAGCTAGCGCCCTAGAAAAAAAATATGGAATGAAACGTTAGAAACATTTCTTTAAAGTCAAAAATAAAAAACTTCATCTTCCCAATTTACCTCTAAAAATTCGGTGTCTAAGAAATTTGATGTTACTGAAAAAGAATAAGAAATGAAATGTTAAAAACATTTCTTTGAAAGTCAATTAGAAAAAAAATACTCACCATTTCAGTTCGTTCCACTAAGCAGAAACCTAACGCTAAAAAAGAAACGTAAAAAAAGATTATCAGAATAAACCTTTATTTATTTTATTTTATGGATAGCGAGGAGTAATACAATGAAAATCACAAAACTATTCTAACGAATAAACTGGAAAGCATTATAAACTTCGCCCACAACAGCAAACCTAAGTCTACTAGAACAGACCCTTACTGGTAAAAAAAAGAACTATCTAGGACTCCAACCAAGTCTAAATAGGAGTGGTATATATGAGGAGATCGGTGGGTGATGAAATTGTACTACTAGGTGACTATACATTAAAAGCTACATGATGATTATTAAAATTAGAATTGTGAACATCAGAAGATAAACTAAAATCTGTATGGTAAAAAAAAGTTCCACTGTGAAGGAAATCGGATGAAGAAAAAATAATAAACATCAGATCCATGCAATTGTTATAATTGCGAAATTGGCCAGTAAACGGATTTGAATATACAAAATTAGAGAAGCTTTTTCTAGTTCTTGTTCTTCTATTTTGTGACATGGGTCGTTTTTTCTTTGTTAGATTTGGATATCCCGATTTAGTGTATCACGTGATGAAATATAGGATAGTGCGTGAGGAGGCAAAGCGTTTTCGTCTATATCCATAGCGTGAAAAGGAAATATATTGGGTGCATTTACAAATTCATTTAGATCGGATTTAGATCGGATTGCCGATCCATTTGGATTAAACCAGATTCTTATAAAATCCAATCTGTGTTTACAAATACGAGCGTCGGATTTTGAATTTTCGTATACCACCTTAACACATTTTAGTTTAGACCTAAAAGTTGAATAATAATGAATATTCAAAGACATTCTTTGTTTGTTTCAATTATATATTTAATTTTTTTGGACCAAACTGATTCATCCTCCGAAGAAACATCTGATGAGAATAATGATTTACTATTTTATTATGAGTGTATAGACGTTATTGAAAGGAATAATTCTTTAAGAGCAGTTCACAGGCAAGCAAGAAGAGCCCGAAGCTTTTGTTGGTTTAATAATATATGTAGCAGTTGGGAAAATATGGAGTTTAAGCGCCATTTTAGAATAACAAAAACTACATTTGAGTGGTTGTGTACTGAGATAGCACCTATATTATTGCAAAGAAACAACTCAAGAGGCGCTCCAAGACTTCCAATTAAACAGAAAGTTTCAGTAACTTTATGGTTTTTAGCTACTGGTCAAAGCTATAGGACACTTGGACAATTGTTTGCATTAGGAGAAACAACTATATGTTTTATTATCAGATCAGTCTTATATGCAATTAAATGTCATTTTCTCTCATCAAAAATTAGGTAAGAGTTTAGTAGTAATTAAAGTTTTAATGAATTAATAAATAAATATTAATTATTATGATTTTTAATAGATTTCCCAATAACTATACTGAATTTAGTAATATTGCAAAGAAATTTAAAAGAAAAGCTGGTATCCCATATGCCATAGGAGCTATTGATGGTAGTCATATACCAATTAAAGCTCCTAAAGAATATCCTATGGATTATTATAATAGAAAGGGTTTTTATTCAATTGTTTTACAAGCAGTTGTTGATTCATATGGAAGATTTATTGATATTTTTGTTGGTTATCCTGGCTCAACTCATGATAGTAGAATATTTCATAATTCTCCATTATATTATATGCTTAGTTCTTCTTCTTCTGTTATTCCTTCAAATTCGTACATTCTTGGTGATGCTGGTTATCCTTGCCAAAATTGGTTACTTACACCATACCGTGATAATGGAAGGTTAACACAAATACAAACTTATTATAATACCAAACATTCTCAAACTCGGATAAGTGTTGAACAAGCTTTTGGAAAATTGAAATCAAGATTTAGATGCCTCATTAATCCTATAGCAACATCATTAGAAACAGCTATTCTGATTGTAACAACATCTTGTATTTTACATAATATCTGTGAAGAAAGGGAGGAAGATATGTTAGATGATGATGAATATTTTGATGACCAAAATAATTTTCACACCTTATCAAATAATAATAATGCTTCTGAAGTAACCAACACCATTAGAGATAATTTAGCAAATTATTTGTGGAATAAAAAAATTTTACGAGATAACAGAAGAAGCAGATATAACATTATTAGTGATAGTGAAGATGAAATTGATATTGAAGTATCAGAATAAATGATAAACACCAGAATAAAAAAAATTTCAATTTTTTTTTTGAATAATTGACTTTATTTTGGTTATATTTTTTTACAATTACAACAGATTAAATTTCATCTAAATCTTGAGGTGAGAAAATATGTAATGTAGAGTTCATTCAAATTGCAAAGTAGGATCAATTTGTGGAGTACGTGTACGATCAATTTGTGGAGTACGTGTACGATCAATTTGCGAAGTACGTGTACGATCAATTTGCGAAGTATGAGTACGATTAATTTGTGGAGTATGAGTACGATTAATTTGTGGAGTATCAGTATACGAAGTATCCATGAATTGCATTGTATTAAATGAACTAGATTGATAATAAAAAGGAACTATTATAAAATAATTAGTATATTAAAGATATTAAAGATAATTTGTAATTATATTAATAAATTACATACCATCATTTTGAGAAAACATCATATTTCTATTTGTAGAATTCAAAGCAGAAATTAGTAAACTAAACTCCTGTTGCCTTCGCTCTTCCCTTTCCTTTCGTTCAACTTCTCTTCTTTCTCGTTCTATTTTTCTATTTTCTTGTTCTTCCTTTCTTTGATAAATTAGATCTTCCAACATATTTTTAACTTTTCTTACTTCGGACCTGTTAGCTTTTCGCGGTTCATCTTCTTGGATAGATTCATCAGACCTGTTCTTTCGTTTACTTCGACCAGTAATTTCATTAAATAGAGCTTCCTTTTCAATAATAACTTCATCATTTTGGTCCAAACTACTTTCTAGTAGTTTTGGAGTTAAACTTGGACGATTTCCATCAAGGATTTCTTCAACTTCTGCTTTATATTTTACTTCAATTAAATCATTACCTGATTTTTTATTATGATCCATGTCATCCTAAATAGAATATTTTTTAATTAAAGGTGTGAATAAGAATTTTTAAAAAGTAGTTTCTTAAGTAGTACCTTATATTTTTTTTTAATGTTTTTCCACTTAACCGCGCACTGTTCAGCAGAATATTGGCAATGACTGTCAAGAAATATATTTGACGCGTCTTGCCAAAGCTTTGCTTTTGTATTACCGCTGCCACCTCGTTTGGTACTTAGTTGGTTTACTTCTTCTTTCCGTTCTATTAAAAATGAAAGTAAAAGCTTAATATTATCATCGTTCCATTGGCATGATTTTTTTTTATTGTTTTTAATGTCCGCCTTAGTAAAATTTTCACGGTCATGAAGGGTTGTTTCCATTATTAAACGAAATATGAAAGAAAATTTAATATGAAAAAAAAATTTTTCATCAAAAAAAATTATATAGGTGGGTCATAGGGGGTAACATGTGGTGGTAGGTTGGTGGATAGTAGTACTGGTATGTTTAATCGTGGGGTACACCCTGGATTGGAAATTTAATAGTAAAATCCGATCTAAATGAGTCAGGTTGATCAACTCAATTCGATCCAAATCGATTTTGTAATTTGTAAATATGGGTTGGATTGAGGCGTCGGCTCAATCCGATCTAAATGAATTTGTAAATGCACCCATTATCTATTTTATCCATAGGTTTGTGGCTTGGGTAGCTCTGATTTTATTAGGTCTTTGAACAGTAGTATCTTATGAAGTAGAGTCGTTGGTAGCAAATGAGCCTGCTATTATATCAGCTTCTGCGTTTTTTGACATAGTCTTTGATTTAGAACGGGTGTTTCTACTCATTTTACATGTAAAACATGTCGAGGAGTTCAAATATTTAGTTTTTAAGTGTTGTAAAATTGTTAGAAAAAAAGTTTTGTCAGAGAAATCCTTTAGCTAAATTTTTGGTTTAATGATCGACGTGTTGCTTTCCATAAACCTTTATCTTTTGATGTAGCACAAAATTTCAAATTACGCGTGATCTTATATGTTAATAAACATACGTGTATATAGTCTTTCGCATAAAGTTAATTTTTCTACCCAATTTAATCAATTAAATTTTTTAAATAAGACAAACCGATCAAATAAAAGAAGAATGAAGGGTAATTATAATTTATAGATCAATAAGGAATGATGCTATTAAATAAACTTAATAAAGTCGTATTAATATTATCATCATAGAAATTATAACAGTTAAAATATTATTTAAAATTTTTAGCGTTACCAATCATAATACTTTTGATAAAGAATACATTTGAGAAGTTATTTCTTTTGATTTATTTCAACCCTTTGAAACTTTCCGCCTCTAATGTAGTTACGACAGATAATTTCATTCAAAGGATACAGATTTTTATAATTTTTCTTTGTTTTCAGGAGCTTATAAGAGGTTTACTTTCAATGTGATTTATTTTTGGTATCAAAAAATTCACATAAATTCACACAAATTGAAGTATTGTAATGGTAGCTTTTAAGAATAAACTACAACAATAAATAAGAGAATTTATTTTGTACAAGAGTAAACTTCGAACTTAAAAAATACAACATCTTTCCTTAATATGATAGATGATGTCAGCCAGAAATTACTGCCTTTTTTAGACATTTTCTGGCATAATAAATTCTACAATTTAGAATTAATTTAATTAATTTGCAGATATACAGACGATTTATAATAAATCTTTTAACCAGGTAATAAAATACAATAGCGAAGTATTGTTAATATTATTTTTATACTGCCAGAAACTTGTCTTTAAGTTTCACTAATCAAAAAAAAGGGAAATAAATTTTAAAATAAATAAAAATACATTTGCTATATACTTTTTTTATAGTTAGCTTTATTTTAAAAACTTTTCTTAATGCATATTATATGTTTAAAATACATATGTATATTATATAATTATATAATATGAAATTTATAAAAAATTTTTAATAAAATTAAAAAAATATTAACATTAAAAAAAAAATGCTAAAATTAAAGTTAAAAATGAAATCAAAAATACCAAATTAAAGAAAATTATTAAATAAAGTAAAAAAAAAAATACCATAAAATAAATTTTTAAAAATCTGAAATTATTAGAAAAAAAAAAACTGAATCAATTAAAAAATTTTCAAAAAATTCATTGTATCAAAAAAAAAAAAAATCTCTCCTCTTAAAAATAATTTTTCTGACAAATAATCCGTCAAAAAAAAAAATCTTATTGAAAAAATTCTCTGTAATTTATCACGGAGTTTAATATTCGTGCTTCGCCTCATAATCATTTAGTTGTTTATTTTGATTGGTTGACATCTTATCACATGATTTTAATTGAAAAAGTTCGAGAATGATCCAGAATTAATCACATGATTTAATTGAAAAGTTCGGGAATGATCCAGAATTAATTACATGATTTAATTGAAAAGTTCGGGAATGATCCAGAATTAATCACATGATTTTAATTGAAAAAGTTCGGGAATGATCCAGAATTAATCACATGATTTTAAAATCAAAAGTCCGGGAATGACTCAGAATTAATCTAAAATGACGCTATCATTTGGTCATTTTTTCATGTCATTTACCGCAATTGTTAAAACTGTCAAAATGTGCTTCCCAAATATGGCCAAGCCGATATTCACATAATAAACAACCATGCAGCCTTTTTTGTCAAATATCCGATTGAAAACTTCTTAGTTTTATATAATATTACGAGAATGTTGCCTTATATAATTATTTCAAATTTGAATATAATACTTTGAGTGTTATCTAAAAAGTATTTATTTGGAAATATTAATTAGAACCAAAGAACAATAGCTATTAAAATGTATTTCTAACAACCAAGTCGAACGGTAAAAAGCTAGACCTACCATATTTATCAATTACGGATATGCACAATTCTCAAAAGCCGCAGTGACAAATGAATCTTTAATGGTGTCGATCATTTACATACGGGGATATAAAGACCCATAAATGATCATCGATTAATACTACCGGAGTTTATCTAATTTTTGTTTTTCGAAAGATGGACTGCGGAAAGTTAAAGAAACGTATAAATAATGGAGGAAGAATTTCATGGCTTTTAGATCATTCAAAAATTGATCATTCAATTTGAATAATTTTATAAAAAATAAATATATTTATTTATTTATAAACACACATATATACATCGCTTACATCGCACTTTTTTAAAAAAAATAATAAAATAAATTTTGTTTGAAAACATAAAAAAAAAAATATATAAACACAAATTAAAAAAGATTAAAATTTTCTAAAAAAAATTTTTTTTTTTTTTTAAAATTTTTATAACAATCAATTACCAATTTTTTATACTTTTTTCAAAAGTAAATTAAATCAATCATGCCTAAAGTTAATTACTCCCAAATTTTTCAACCTTTGACTATTTTATTTACTCAAACGCAATTGAATACAATTCTTTTGGCGTATCTCCCATCAAAATTAGAATTTTATTTGACTGGAATTATCGCGGTTGATATGTTTATAACGACTGTTATAGCATCTACAATTTCCACTTCAATTCCTGCATTGGTTCAATTTCTTTCAAATACAGGAACTCCATGGGGAAAATGGGGAAATAAAAAAAATGTTACAATGCAAATTGAATATTATACTCAAGGAAAATATGGTTACTCTTATACAAATGTATTTTATGAAGCATTGTCTTGGTTAATTTCCCAACAAACAAAAGAATTAAATGATGGTTCATTCGTTATTCAGACTGTCGATACTATCAAAAATGATGGTGTTGATGATGATTGCGCTCCTCCAAATATTAACGTTCTTCCAGAAAAAAATCATCGAATTACAATTGAATATAAAGAAAAAAAATATTCTGTTACATATAAAATTCCCGGACAAGAGAATGTTGATGATGAAGGTAGTGGTTCAATATCTAGAAGTAAACAATCGAAACCTTCAATTTTTTTAACAACCGTTGAAGTTTCAGAGGAAGAAAATGTTACTGTTACAACTGAATTTTTAAATGAAATTGTAAGATCTTATTTAAAAACTCTGAAAAAATCAAAAGTACGTTCAAGATATGAACGAAGTAAAAATCGTTGGAATTTCGTTCAAACATTATCTTCTTCTCGAGGGTTAGATAGTGTTGCATTAAATGAATCACAAGAAAATTTATTGAAAAAAGAATTGGAAACATTTGCGAATGATAAAAGTTTTTATGAAAGAATTGGAGTACCTTATAGACGTGGTATTTTATTATATGGTAAACCAGGAACTGGAAAAACTAGTTTAATAAATGCCATTTCTTCCCAATTATCTCGTGATATTTATTATTTAAATCTTAAAGATATTAAAAATGATAATGAATTAAATGCTGCATTTAGTGGTGTTCCAGGAAATCAAATTATTGTACTTGAAGATGTTGATACACAATCAAAAGTTCTTCATAAACGTACAAGTAATTCTGGTTCATTTAATTCCTCGTTATCATCTTTAATGAAATCTTTCGATAAAAGTGATGATAATTCAGATGATGATAATAAAGTTAAAATTGATGCATTTGCTGAATTTAGTTTATCGACTTTTTTGGGATGCTTGGATGGTCATATTTTGGCCGAAGGAAATATAATTATTATGACAACAAATCATGTTGAACATCTTGATCCTGCTTGTATTCGTCCTGGTCGTATGGACGTACAACTTAATCTTGGTTATTGCACTCATTATCAAATTGAAAAAATGTATAAGAGTGTCGTTGAAAATCCTGAAGCTGAATTTCCTCATGATATTCTTGAAAAAATTCCTGAAAATTTATTACCTCCTTGTGAAGTTATGATGACCATGATCTTATATCGCAGTGAAATTGATCTTATCCCAGAAAAGATTTATGAATTAGTCGCAAAATACAAAGACGTAAAATCTGAAGAAGCAGCATCTGCTAATTTAACGGAAATGAATGAAACAAAGTCGGAAGAAATTAAGAATGAAAATAAGGATGAGAAAGAAGAAGTTAAAGGTGAGAAGGAAGAAGTTAAGAACGAAAATGATGAGAAAGAAGAAGTTAAAGGTGAGAATGAGGAAGTTAAGGATGAAAATAAGGATAAGAAAGATGATGTTAAAGGTGAGAAGGAAGAAGTTGAGGATGAAAATAACGATGAGAAAGAAGATGTTAAAGGTGAGAATGAGGAAGTTAAAGATGAAAATAAGGATAAGAAAGAGGATGTTAAAGATGAATTTAAGAAAGAAGATGTTAATGAAATTAAGGAGGGTGTTAAAGACAAAAATAAAGAAGAAAATAAAGAGGATAAGAAAGGAGAAGAAATTATAAATGAGGCAAATGTAAACAATTTAAATGAAGAAATAAACGCTGAAGATAGCGATAGTAATACAGACGTAGAACTAGAAGTTGAAAACGACAAGATAAAACATTTTAAAACTATAGAAACATTCACTGTAATACCACAAATTGTATAATTATTAAATTTTTGAACTTGAAATATTTAAATAAAAATAAAGATTAAAAGAAATCAAGCAGTTTTTATATTTGTTCAAGTTAATAAATAACCGGAACGTAAAAAATAAATAACCACGCTATAATCACAAAGGTTGTTATGGATTTCTTGTGAATTAAAGAAGAAAACCATAAAAGATTACAACCAAGTTTATAATTAAATAGGGAATTTGGGAAATAATAATTGAGGTTTATTTAAGAAAAATTAATTAGAAACTTTTTTTGAAGACTGTGTTTTTTAGTTATGCTCCGCTAAAGTCAAATACTTTGCACCGTGGCACTAAAATAAGAAAAAAATTATTTTTGAAAATAAACTTTCCTATTTTACCTATAGATCAGGAATATAACAAATAATAACAGTAATAATAATATAATAACAATAATAATAAAGAACTAAGGATTAAACACAGGAACTTTAGATTTATTCTGTTAAAAGTATGATTTTAATACATGTCGGTTGTACCTTACATTTAACAAAAATGAAAGAATAACGAAGAGGATAAAAAGAGAAGGAGATGGACAACCAAGAATAGAGAAAGAAAGGTCATATATAACAGAGCGTACTTTACTATGACTTAATATCGACCATTATTAAAATATTAATTTGATAAATTAGTTATATTACAAAGATGTTCGTAGTTTCTAGCAACTTCTAGCGTATACTTACTCATCAAGTAAAAAAATATTAGTTATGATTAAAATTAAATATTACATGTGTTCGGTATAATACTCAGAATTTACCAGAATATTTTACGTCTCATTATATAAAAAGTCATTAAATAAGTAAATAATATATCATAGTAAATATTGAAATTTTTGTTTGCGATTCTTGTTTTTAAAATTGGGATTTCAGACGTGGATAAATTAATAGTTTTGAATATATTTTGCCATGTTAAATATCAAGTCATTCCCAGTCTTTCTTTCTATTTATTTTTTTTAAAAAAAAGGTCATATAACTAGTTACATTAATTATAGTATTGAATACACTGAATGGTTAATAATTTAATAACACAATTCAAGTGGAATTAATAATAGTTATTTCTTCACGGTTCTCAACCATAAGGCAAGTAATGATGGACTCATTATTCTAATATTGAATATTGTTAGATTTTTTCACCCCAGCCAAATGATCGGCATAGTTTCTAATCTAAGTGGGCGTGCACTACATCCTAGCTTATAAACTGCCCATGGGCCAGATTAGCCCACGAGATCTGATTGGTCCAAACAACTTACCAACATATAATTACAAATAAGGCAAATTTATAACTTTTGACCGGATATTTACTTATAAACTCATGGTCAAGGATTGCATTAATGTACATTTTGTACCACCTTGTAACTATAAAAAAGGCAAAATTTTTTCAAGGTTACACATTAATTTGGCCAGAATTAAGATAATTTCGCCCAGCAAAATTTGGCCGAAATTATAAAACGGACATAAATGTCCGTTTGCAAATTTGGCCAGAATTATAAAAACGGACATAAATTTGGCCGGAATTATAAAAACGGACATTTATGTCCGTTTTTGTAAATTTGGCCAGCATTATGAATGTAAATATTTTAACTAATTATTCAGTAATCATAAATAAATAAATTATATTTTGTTGACTTTGTCTCATCAAAATATGCTAAATAGTGGAATTTCTATTATCAACAAATAAAAGTTATTAGCATTTATAAATATTTAAAAATATTAAAAATTATTTCAAGAAAATGTTAATATTTTATTATTTATTTATTAATCCTAAAGGTATAAAACTGCTAACATTTAAAATATCTCAAAAAAACAATCCAACAAGCTATATATATTTTATCTTTCTATTTGTAATTACTTGATTTCAAGCTAAAGCAGTTTAACTTTCAGCAATTTAATGTAAATATTTAATCAGATAATAGACATTTGTTTTTTTTTAAATCAGAATACTAGATATTGTTTTATTATTTATTTAATATATAAAAGTTATATGAATATTGTGTTTTATATTTAAATATTATATGAAAATTTTGTAAATGTTATTTGGCATTTAAAAAATTGGTTTATTGAAAAAATATTGACTTTTGGTTTTTTTATTTTTAAAATTGCCAAAAAATTGGATCTTTCAATTATTAGTATATTAAATATATGTGGAAGTTACATATATAAATATACCTACTATCTAGTATTTAGTAGTAAATTAAATATATGTGAAAGTTACATAAACATATTGGTATTTAATGTAATTTGGTATTTAAAAAAATTATTTTATTAATTAAAATATTTTTTTATTATTAGATACAAATTATTTTAAAAATTGTCAAAAAATTAGATTTTTTAATTATTAGTACATTACATATGCAATTTAACAATTGAAAAATTATTTTATTAATAGGCCATTGATTTTATTTTAGTTTTATTCTTTTTTTTAATTAGATATAATTTATTTTAAATATTATTAGAAAATTAAATGATTTGATTCTTTTAATTATTAAACATATCTA